TGTGTGTACCTGTAGTCATGAAAGCTGCCATGTGCCCGCCCTCCTGCTGAAAAGACAGTTTGATTGGTTGATGAGCAAAGGCAAGGCCACTTGTGATGAGGTATTTTGTTGTCCCTGATCATCAAGTACAGCAGCATCATGTGATCACTCAACTTGACAAGGATCATCTGAACGCACACACAATGCAGTGTAGTGGTAAGACCACACACCTTTGGAGTGGGAGTTGCAAGTTCGATTCCCACCCAGTATCCAGTAAGGGTCCTAAAACTAAGCCCTGGAATGGCGAGGCTGCGTCTGCAGCCTGTGTGCAGCTCGGACACAAAGCATTTCTCTGTATGATTGTGTATGTGACGAATAATGTTGTTTGTTGTTGACTTGTCACAATGAGAAGCTGGAATTAAGTTAAGCGTTAAGTTGCTGCTGATGCTCACCTTTTTCAGTAACGGAGTGCCACAGGGCTCTAACTTTGGCTCATTGCTATTGACTATAAATGCATCTTTCCATCTCTTCTGATACAATTTTAAAAGCATCATCCTTTTCAGGGAGCCTATCCCAGGAGTCATGGGATAGGGATAGACTTGTCTAACATAGAGACAGACAACCATTTACACCTATGGGCAATTACCAAGTAACCTAATCCCACTAACTCCGAATTTCAGTGTGTAAGCAACTGTACATTGACAATAAAAGTTCAAATTCTAAGTCTAATTGAATGTCTTTGAACTTTTGGAGTAAGCCAGAGTGCCCGGAGAGAACATGCAAACTCCACATAGAAAGACCAAAGCCTGATGCTGGAATCGAACTCAGGACCTTCTTACTGTGAGGCAACAGTTCGAACCACCGTGCTTTTTAAAAATTTTAAAACCTGATTTTAAAACCTGTACCTTTATTTTAAATTTCAGAAAGTTCACATCTCGCTGGAACCCTGAACAGCTTAAAACCTTTGAGGCAGTGTTGCAGCCACTGGCTCTTAATTTGAATCCAGGCTAATTTTGTGGGAAGCACAGACACGCCTCCATGAATACTGGCTGAACAGGTCTGACGTACTCTGCACCTTTTTAAAAAGAACAAAGAACCCTGAAGCTGCTTTCTCTCGCAGAAAACTTCATTGCTGAGAAGATTTCTTATGTTCTCAAAGCTGCCTTAGCAACAACATCTCTATCCCCACGACAGTGAACCAGCATTAAAGTGAATTCAGCCATCAGTATAGCAGAGCACAGGCTCTGAGGCTGCTGAGGGAACAAATGCTGTTCATTCACATCTGCAGGTGGAAATATGCAAATGCATAAAGCTGCTGTCTGAATTGCAGAAGTACAGCAGCTCCAACTGAGCGTTGGAGTTAAAGTTGACAGTCTTCATATTTTTGAGGAAGAATAGTGAAACAGTTCCAGAGTAATAAAAACTGTGCTGTTTAGCAGCAGCTATATGAATGACGTTTGTCCAAGGTGTGTGTGTTTGTCTTACCTGGTTCCACTGAGCGCGTGCGAGGATTACACTGTTTGTGTCCCTTGCACCCTCTGAGCTCCATCAGCTGCACGTGGAGCTGATTGAGAACCGTCCGATCTAAAGAGCTGACAGCATTTATCAGCTGGAAACAGAAATGAGGAGACAAAGAGAGAGGCGGTAGTTTGTGTGGTTTGTGTTCAGGTAAATTAGATGAGGTGTATCAGCCCAACAGCCGTGGGGCCTCAGGAACTCCACATTTCTGCTGTCATGCAAGTTTCTTGGACGTGTGCATTGTGAGTGTGACGGTCGGGCTGAATGTGTGTCATTTATAAATGAAAGAAATATGCAAACCTGTAGAAACATCCTGTCTCAGGGAAACACTGAAAAACTAGTTTACACATTTTTACTTCTGGGCTGGACGACTGTAATTTGTTATTATCAGGATTTCCTAAAAGCTCCCTGAAAAACCTTCAGTCTTAAATAATCAGGCCCCATCTTATCTTAATGACCTTGTAGTACCATATCACCCTATCAGAGCACTTCGCTCTCGCTCTGCAGGCCTACTTGTTGTTCCTAGAGTATTTAAAAGTAGAATGGGAGGCAGAGCCTTCAGTTTTCAGGCCCCTCTTCTGTGGAACCAGCTTCCAGTTTGGATTCAGGAGACAGACACTATCTCTACTTTCAAGATTAGGCTTCAAACTTTCCTTTTTGCTAAAGCATATAGTTAGGGCTGGACCAGGTGACCCTGAATCCTCCCTTAGTTATGCTGCAATAGATGTAGGCTGCCGGGGATTCCCATGATGCACTGGGTGCTTCTTCTTCACTCACTCTGTGTTTATTCACCTCTCTGCATTTAATCATTAGTTATTATTCATCCCTGACTTCTTCCACAGTGTGTTTTTGTCCCGTCTTTCTCTCCTGACCCCAATCTGGTTGTGGCAGATGGCCTTCCCAGGAGGTTTCCTGTTAAAGGGACGTTTTTCCTTCCCACTGTTGCCAAAGCGCTTGTTCACAGGGGGTTACTTTACAATATAAAGCGCCTTGAGGCAACTGTTGTTGTGATTTGGTGATTTGTGTATTTTCATTTTCTTTATATCACTGACTTATATTAGAACTAGACAGCACTACAGGGAAACAATATTTCAGGATACTGTATGTGTATATAGTTTTTTATATTCTTGAGTCTTGATTTAATTTAATTCAGTGGTATCCAGATGTAGTTTCCTGCTGCAGACACAAGTTGACTTTTAGACCCCCCCTCCCTTTCACAGACCTGCTTGAGGGTTAAAGCCACAATGAGGTTAGAGTTTGGGACTTTGGGAAGCATTTATGTCATGGGAAGCATGTCAGCGAGCTAACGCAGGAAAACAACACCTTTAAGCTAAAATCAGAAAACTGCTCTGTACCTGGTACGGGTCTGTGTTGAGGTCAAAGTACTCCAGGAAGCCAGTCGCAAACTCACAGAACAGGAAGTTGTGGGACTCGTTGATGGTCCTCAGACACCAGTACGTGTTGTTGTTGGCACTGGTGCAGGCGCAGAATGAACCCACTGCAACACACACACCAACACAAACACACACATATTCATTAACAATATTTTTATTGCTGTGCTGGTTAAACCTGAAGAACGAGGACATTTTTAGAAAGTGTGGTTCTCGGTTTGGGACAGCACTTTGATGGCGTTATTTATAAGCACAGCTCAAACACAGATCACAGCAAACTCTTTTAGTGGCTGCAACAACAACGATCGAAAGCTCAAACACGGGGAAGGAGATCGTGATGTTGAAACGCTCAGGGTTGTGATGATCATCACAAAGTAAAGCAGTGGCTCTTACACGTCCAGAACGGCGCCGTGTGCCAGTGCTGGTTGTCATGAGTGAAGCAGGTGAGTCCTGGCATTGAACACGTGTCATTGTTTCTGATTCTCTTGATCATCTTCCTCATCTTCTTCCTCCTCTTCTGCTCCTTTAGAAGCCACGCCTTCTTGTCCCGAGCCCCGGCCTTCCTGCTCACACACACGCGCGCACACACACACACACACACACACGCACGCACAGATAAAGCTTGTAGGATGTAGCTGCCCAGGGCCATTTATGTAAAAACACAGCGTGCTGGCTTATCGCCACAATGGTCTCACCTGAACGGATGCAGACTCCCTCCTCTGTACCTCAGTTTGTTCTTCAGTTTGGATTTGTACCTGAGAAACACAAACGTCACATCGCGTTTAATCACATGCATGAATCTAAAACTGTGGCGTGCACTTTTCTGCTACTTACAGATATTTACTGCAGTCACACTCCTGGGGGCGGGCCTTCTTCAGGTGACCTCTGACCTCTCTCAGGTTCTTTATCTTCGTCTGCAGAGTCTCAATCTGAGAGAAAGTATCATTCAGAGCCACTAATAATATTCTGCAGAACCTTAAACTTACTTCACTTCTGCGGCGTCGGGTGTGAGCTGGGATTTTCAGAGCGACATCCCAAACTTTTTAAAACAAGCGTCACTGCTGTAAGTCTTTTTCACTCTCTAACTTACTGTTTTGATTGGCTGGGTGAGCACGACTGGTTGCCTAGATGCTGCAGATCTTGTTAGCTGGATGAACCAATTAGTCCTATTTCATTCATTTACAACTCCCAGGTTTACCTGACAGGTGTACCGTGTTGTGCACACCTGACAGGAGCCGGGGCTGCAGTCCAGCAGACAGCAGCATCCCGGTCTGTAGCAGGAAGTTGTAAACCAATGAGGTGGAGAGAGAGAGGAACCCGGCAGACTCAGTTATCTGTCACAGAATCATTCACCCGGAACAGCGGGCAGCTACAGTCTGCACAGACAAGGAAACGCTAACCTGCCAGGAGGCAGGGCTGCTAATGTTATCCACACTCTGCACATCCCAGCACCTAGAATAGGATCAGATCAATGAACAGTGTAATCACTGGTGTAATCACTGCGATCACTGACTTTTAAATGTGCCCTGTGTTTAACCTTTCCCATTAAATTGTGCTTAATTTGGACTGTTTTCTTACTTTTATACATAACGACTAATTTGATTTATTATTCTGCTGCTTTATAAACCGACTCCACGACACTTGCCTCGCACATGCACAACCCCAGGGTTTTGTTAGGTCGGGCGTACGCTGCAAAATCTGTGCCTGATCAAACATGCAGATGGATCGTGGGGAAGCGGAGCGCCTCAAGCACTTTATGAACATCCTCCCTCCACCTTTCAGAAAAAGCTGAGTCAGGAGCTTCAAAGCTCGAGGACAGTTCAGTTTAAAGGGACAAGAGCGCACTGACTGATTCAACATTTCAGCACTACTGTGTCTGCATGTGACTGTGGGACGTTATTTCAGGTGGAAATATCACGAAATAAACCAGAGCTTCAGGGGGTAATTCACAAAAAACCTTTAAGCAGGAGACTAGGGTTTAGGTACCAGCACCACCTTTGGAGAAGGTCAAGTTTAGATTAAATTAAAGCCTTTAAAAAAGTTGTTTTAAAATCTGTTCATAGTCACTAAAGTTGTGAAGTGTTTTGGTTGTTGGCAGCTTAGTTTGTTGAACCCGGAAGTCACAAGCGAGTGATGGATCTCACCGTGAAGCAGTGATAGTGACCTGTCAATCACGAGGTAGGGCGGGCCTAAAATGTGCCTTCCTTTATGTTTTTGACTCTAACAGGTCCAAAATCTTCAGAACCAACAGGTTAGAAATGATAAGACTTAAAAAGAAAGAAAGCAAAACCATCAGCAAAGTGTTTCCTCAGGTCAGAGATCAAATACAGAAGAGAAGAGGCCGTCAGACAGAATGCTCCTTTAATGCGCTTCATGTCCACCTCACATACAGTTTGTGGTCACAACAGTGCAGAGACGCTAACTCGTACTGCTGTGTGGCTTTTACAGAAACGTGAGAAGGCCGTTACCTCGTGGTCGATATGCAGCTTGTGGTCCTTCCAGGCCTGCAGGGACTGATACACTCCCGTGTCACACTTCACTGTTGCATTAGACAGGATGGAACATCTGCAGGAAAACAGATTTAATATCAGTCGTATTTGGTTAAAGAGCATCATATCATAACACGAAAAAAAGAAGCATTACTGACCGCTGAGTGACTTTGACAGAGTTGGGTGTGACCACGGCGTTGGGATCTCCTCCCATCCCGCTAAACTCGTCCTCAGACTCGTCTCTCATTGGCTGATCCCAGCCTGCCAGGCTCTGGTTTCCAGGGTAATTGTTCGTCATGGAGAGAGAGCGGCTGTAACGGTTCCTGGAGTAATTCTTCAGGGCTTTGAACTCTGACAGACAAACACAATTAAGCTCATCACCTCAGCGAATATCACCACTGAGAAGAATAAGAAGTTTATCATCACACTGCTCTTGCCCTACACAATAAAATCCACTTCCTGCAGTCTCTAAGTACACGTTTACATGCCTCAGTGTTACAGTAATGGCTAAACTAAAGCTCATCATTGACGGAGAACCTCAAATATCTGCATCTCTACCACCATAAGGGTGATGCAGTGCTGTCCTCAGACATTAGAGGTCAGCATCACACCACAAAGTGGAAGCTGCGGCCTGAGAACAACAGCTCTGAAACAGGAGAAACCAGGTTATCTCTCCTGGAAAAATCTAAAAACATCTTCGCTCACAGCCTCTTCACAAGAAAGAAAGGGAAATAGAAAAGTCATTAAAGGAAAGGTTGGAAGCTCTGGTGGCAAGCTGTTGGAAACTGACCTCAAAATAAATTAACTTCTTTATTCGTTACACGGACTTAAGAGTCGATCCTGTTCCTGCTTCAATTTAAGGAATTAAGAAGGGACATTTTACCACGTGTGCTTGCATGCACATGGTAAACAAACCCAGCCTCGTGCACAACAGTCACTGCTCCGAGTGGTGCTGTGAAAAACAGCTGCAGGACTTTCCCAGTTAAATCTACGCTCTAATGTGACATCTGAACAAGTCTGACAAATGGATTATTTAAACATGTGGGCCTCCAACCACAGAGTTCAAAGTAGCAATCCATCAGACACAGGATCAGCCAAACACACTGCTGAACTCAGAGATAAAGATCCAAAGCATGACAAGAGTGTGCACTCCTCTACGACCGCATTGAGCCGCCTCAAACCTGCCATCAAACGTGTCATCCTGGCGAGATGAGTTTGTCAATCAGAGGAGTGAAAGAGATCTAAAGCTGACACGTCTGAGGAGTTTATGCACCGTCTTTCTCTCTGAGCACATACAGCAATGCTCGTATCATCTCATATGAACCGCGGCTCCTGTTTCATGACAAACTTATTACCACAAAGCAGCGACAGCTACGCTGAAAAAAAACCAAAAGTTTAAAATCATCAGCAATCAGCAGCTGGAAAATTAAAAACCGCAAATAAGTGTCATGCAAAAACATTTTTGTACTATTTTCCAAAAGCTCTGACATTTCTTTGGTGAGAGGTTCGTCTGTTTATGAGTATGACCGGCACTAATGTGTCATATCTGCAGGAGTTTGTCAGACTTGGTCACAGTGATGATTCCAACGTGTCGGTGTGTAGGTGCTCGTTTGAATTATTAATCGTTGGGATTAAAACATCTGCGTACACCAGTCATCCACAACAATGAAACCACTGTAAAGTCAGTAACAACAATCATCTTGTCCTGGCACTCTTTTAAACGCATCATCCAAACGTATCCGATCATCTCTTCGCATCCTGCAGACGCCGCGAGCAGCATGATGACACAAACCCCGCCACACTGCAAAAAACTGATCGCAACAGCTTGAGAAGCACAAAATCTCCAAATCACAGCCCAATCGAGGCCAAGCAGGACGTTCTGGAACAAGTCCGCGACATCCGCACACCGACAGGTCAGAATTGCTCCAGCAGCACACATCGGAAGCCAAAAACTGTCATTCAGAAACCAAGTCAATGCCTACAGACTCCCATTTAAAACGAGCAAATTTACAGCATTAAAAAAAACGTGTTTACAGACGGGAACAAAAAGGTTTGGACCACCATGGACAGTTTGGTGGTCCAAACTGAGGACAGGTTGTTTCTTATAAACTATCCACTTGGATACAACTCGGGTTTAAAATTCAAACCATTCAAAGAAGTTTATGCTTCAGTTTTGTGATTTAGCTAAAAACCTCATTCTAGCGTCGTGATCGGATCCAAAAAACAATCTGGAAGCAGCCAAAACGTGAACATGAAGATGATGATAATCATGAACAGTGCTTAATTCAAATAAAGCAGGATTTTAGTCAGCTGACCTTTAACCTGTTTAGGCTTTTAAGGGATTTATGGATGAAACTTAATAAAGGAATCAGAGAATTCCAGAAAAGCTGCTAAACTGCTCACACGTGGCGCTCAACAGTTTTCCATTTTAAACCCAACACAAAATTATTTTTTCACGAGGCAAACTGCGCATGCCTAATAATCACTGCTGCCCCCTGGTGGACTGAAGCGTTAACACTCACTCTTTTTGGAGAAGAAAGGCTTCTTGTTGAACGGCTTCATCATGGAGGGTCGAAGGTTCAGAGGTCGCAGGTCACGGAAATCGCAGTCGCAGGCACCAGAATTTGGAAGGTACAGTTGAGACTTGATGCTGATTGGACGCTGACGGCCAATCACACCCCTCTGGAAGCTTGTGGCCCCTCCTTCATTCTTACATTTGAAGAGCCGTAGCTTCCCCGTGGCGTCCTCCACACACTGCCACTTCTGCACACACAAAATCGAGCGCGAGGAATTATTTTTAACAGTTCAGAGGAGCCGGTTTAGTTTTCCCAACATCAAATGTTAGTATACAAAAGCTCCATAAATAAAATATAAATAAATAATTTAACGCGAATATTGAAAGCTGGAAGTTAAAAGGGAAACGGCATCCTGATAATCATATAAGGATTATCTTCAGGCAGGATGTGATGTCACATATACAACAACTTACAAAAGATGCAACAAAAGTTCACGAATCACAAAATTAAACAGAAAAATATTTGTTTCCCTCAGAATTCATTTAAAACAACACGCACGCTTAACAAAAGGCCTTGTTTGGTCGGTGTAGCGCCGTAATCACACTGAGCATCTGACTGCTGCTGGTCTCGGATGTCAGGCTTTGATTTGTTCAGGTCGATGAAATTTTGGATTGAGGCTAAAGATCCTCACGTACATCGGGCCATGAACAGCCGATGTGAAACAGCAAAATCTCCAGACGCTTACGAGCAGCAGCTCTACTCAGAGCTCCTCAGTCAGTCTGTAGGGAGAATGTCCACAAGTCTCCAAGCAGAGGCTCGTTTCAGCTCTTTGACTCACAGCAGATAAATCAGACGCTTTGCCCGACAGCAGAGTTCCACCTTATACTCATTACTGCACAAGGCCTCGTACTCCATCCTGTCCATGTGACTGAAAAAGACCCTGAAATACTTCTGTGGTCGGGCCGTCAACTCTCAGCAGTGATGTTCTATTATTGACTATTGATCACTGATTGGCTGATTATCCTAATCTTATATTAAATAAGGTGACATGCACGTGAGCTTGTTTTAAACCGCTGATTACGGTGATACTCCAGGGGTAGCATGCAGCGACACCCGAGCTTCAACACGCCAGACTTGCACTGAGTGGCGTTCGTAGGTTTGAAACATGAGTGGGTTCCTTTCACACATCATCCCAAGGTAAACGCTGATTACACAATGTTTCTAGGACAAATCACACTGGCTCCTTGACTGCACTCTGCCACCGGCTACAAAATCCTCGATTGCTGTTGTGGAACCAAAAAGAACAAAAGAACAATGGTTCCGTTTTCTCCGACAGCTCCTGCAGGATCCTGATAGAAGCTATGAAAAGAGTCACTTTACTAAAGGAGGTGAAGAAGAGGCAGAGTGCCTCTGAAAACGAGAGGGAACCTTGGACAGGTGTTTGCACGATGAGAGAAGAGAGCTTCAGGACTTGTGAGGGTTCGAAACATTCACGTGGATTTGCTTTGATCAGCACGAACCAAACCTGCTGGGCTTTGAGTGAAGGGGGGTGAGGTAGGAAAGGCGAGGCTGGGAAGAGGCCGTCTATTGCCTCGTAAACACGTACGATACATTCAGAGTCTTCTTTTGCTTTCAGCGTCGGCTGCATCGTGACTCTGTAGTTGTTCATTAGAAGATTAGCATGACCCGAATGAATTGCGACTGTTGCCCTGAGTCACTCACGCTTATTAAAGAGCGACAAATGCCTGAATTATTAAGTACACACACATATATGCAGTTTTCTTGGGGCTGTTTATCACAGCAACCCAGCAGCCGGCAGACTCTGTTGCTAAGAGACTAATCAACTTGCTAAAGGGATTTTTCGACAAGTGTAATTAACCTCAAACAAGCGTGAACACAAACACACAGTGACACAGCTCTAAATGTCTGGCAGAAAAGTTTCTGTTGTGCTGTCGCATCTCGATTCTCTCCACGTCTCTTTGATGCTGCAGCATTCAGCGAGTCCATTGTGTTCTGGTCGTTCCAGTCGTTACTGCAGTTATTGTATGTGTCTGGTTTACAGAGATGACATCTGGTTTTTCATCTCTGTGACACAAGTCTACCCTGCTTCTTTCAAGTCTCTGTTTATTGGAGCGGTAGCCATCCCAGCTTTCCCGTCTTTATTCCAAAAACAGCTTGTTACCGAAGACTGCACAGACCAAAGAAAAACTGAATCGGAAAGAGTGCAAACTTTATAGCCTGCATGTTCTGTCAAAGCGAAGCAGCAATAATGAGCAATAAGACTGTGATTGAAGCCACAGGATCAGGAGTGAACGACGGGATCGTAGCAGTAAAACGATGAGACTGGCAGAGGAGGAGCAGTTAGGAGCACAGCGAAATTAAACATATGGGATTCGGATTTCTGGAAATTATGGAGTTGAGAGTAAATAGCATCTGGATGAAGTGATTAGACGAGGATTAAACAGGGATTAAGAGTAAATCAGTTCAATTGTGAACAAAATGATGGAATCAGGAAGAAATAACTGGATGGAGAAATGTAGCGTCTCGAGTGAGGAACGAAACGATGAAGTCACAACTCAAATAACGAGATGAAGACTAAAATAAAGTGGTAAGGTGTGCTGTAAACAAACAACAGGATCAGGAGAGACCCAGCAGAACATTATTCTGGAGTAAAATAAGAAATAGCAAATAGGAGTGTGCAGAACAAAGCAACGAGATCTTGAATGAAGCAATTTACCAAAGAGGAACATTTACTGGATTATGACTGAGGAATGGAGTGAATGTGATAATGTGATGTGAATGAAATAATAATAAAAACGAGTAGAATCAGGAATAAATCTCAGATTCAGAAGTTAGAAATGGGATGTGAGGATATTGGGAAAATAATAAGGTTTGAAAGAATGATTTAATTGGATTGGGAGCAGAACGGAGCACAGAATAGGATTCTGGAGTAAGGAAAAGGATAAGAGTCATTTAAAAGAGTGATAATGGGACCAGGAACGGGTTACCAGAAGGAAGTTTAGAGAAAAAGCATTTTAGTGGAAGGAAAGGGAACGCTCCAAACCTGCTTCTGATCTAAAGTGTGGTGTGTGCAGCAAAGGGTTGGAATAAAGTACTGCAATCAGAATGAAGTAATGGGATCAAAAGTACAGTCAAGTAAGTTCAATGGAGCCAAATTAATAGGAATACTGATAATTTTATGAGTGAATTTGATTAATTTGGTGAACGGAGTGAAATAAGGTTTCTGGAGAAAATAGAAAATTAGGAACGTATTCTGGAGTAAAGTTAAGACTGGAGGTAAGGTGATGCAATCAGGGACACGTAATGAGATCAGGAGTGAAGTCAGTGGATGCAAACTCAGAGAATTCTGAGTGGTTTCATGGACGGCTACGCAGTGAAACTCATATGACTGACTCAGGAAAAATAAGGTATTCCAGAGTAAAAGAGAGGAATAAGATTATGCATTGAGGAATAAGCAGCTAGATCAAAAGTACAATAATAACATCAGGAGTGAAGTCATTGGATTCAGGAGATTATAAAAAAATCTGGCTATTGCAGTACAAGGATGGAGAAGGAACGTGATACCTTTGGGAGAAGTAGGATCAGGAGTCGAGGAGTAAATGAATCAGAAGTCTTACTGTACCTGTCCCGTCTGCTGGCAGGGCGTCTGGTACTCGGCTCTCTGACAGAGGTCTTTCACTCGTTGGCGTTTGGGCAGGAAGTTCTCCTCCTGCGATACTTCCTTACCTTCGACGACCTGGTGGAGCAGCTTCCTGTAAAAACACAAGCAGGGAGGAAATCTGCATGTTCAATGAATTCATGATTCAAAGTTAATAAAAGTTTATTTTGGCATTTTTTATTTATGCATTTCTTCTGTCTGAATCAAGAAAGCTGCTTTTTTCTGTGTAAATGCTTCGGTGGCCTCGAGCGTGGGGGTCGATGCCACGGAGACGAAGCCAGCGAGCGACTCACTCGAGAGTTCTTTACAAACTTTTAAAAGTTAACCTTTAGCCCTCCGTTAGAAGAACATTTGACTGAATCAAAGCTCAATGATGTGTTTAAGCTGTGATTAATATCTGTCTCAGAGTTATTATGAGTTTTTACTAATTAACCAAATATCATCAGGCAGATCTGCTTCCACCGGGTGGACGACACCAGCTGCACGTCCATGACTCAGGACAGTAGTTCTGGCTGCCATGTTTTCCCAGCAGTGAGAGCAGCTGCTGTGTTACACTCTGCACTGAACGTAGACTGTTATGTGTTATATTTTCCCGAGCAGCAGCAGTGATGTGTCGTCTTTACCCTCTCTCCACCAGGAACGAGTCTCTCCACACCTTCGGCTTCTTGTTCACTTGAAACCTGAAGAAGAGGATGAAAACAGCGAGAATCAGAATTCCTGCACTTCTCCTGCTATTTTTAACCCACAACCAACACTGTCGCACCCTCCGCCCGCCTTCACCTCACCTCACCTTCTTCTTTTTTCACATCGACTCCATTAAGCACGACTGCCTTTACTGAAGCGGCGTCTGAACGAGCTGCTAAATGTGCATCGCCGCTTCATTTTACACCCCTAAACTTCGGGCTGGAGCTCCTCTCGCTGCCACGTCAGGAGCAGCGAGTTCATTTCAGTTCAACATTACACACATTTATATAATACTCATACCGTCCCCTCATTAAGCGCGTGACTCCATCTGGTTTCTATTCTGGGATGTTTGTAACGTTAACTTTCAGGAACAACATTTTGATTTTCCTCCTACACTTAAAAGAACAACAGTCACCGCAGTGGAAACGACTGCAGGACTTTTTCCAGTTGTTTGATTCACAGAATAAACAGCACAGAAAGACACAAACATGATAATGAGGCTGCGACGAGGATTTACACACAAAGGCGGCGGAAAATGTTGCTGCTCGATGTAAAAGCTTGTCTCCAAAGTTTGAAACACACCGAAGAAGGACTCATTTAAGTTTCCAATATGACAGCCATCAGCGCAGCAAACAACGAAATATTTGGATTTTTTTAGTTTTACCTTTAACATCCAAACCAGTTGCCAGCACAGCGCTTAGGTTTAGGGTTGGGTTGAACTTTAGCCACAAGCTGGGAGATGCTAAACACACCCTGGCCAAACGGAGCTCATAAGATTTTTGTTTCTTATGTGAAAACATGTAGAAAGTCTGTAAAAAGTCAGAGAATTAAATCTAAGTGCAACTATTAAGAAGCTGCTGGTGACCTGAAGGACAGCACCGTTATCCACCGATTCTCTGCTGTTCACAACGGTTTCACAGCGAGGTGTTCACAACAAAATCCCTCCGGCCTGTTCTGTGTCTGCTCCGGGCAGAGTCGGGCACGTTCAGAAGCATTGTTGTCAAATGCCCAACATCCTTATTTTAAACTCTTTTTATCATTTAGTTTCTTTTTATACGTGAAAAACACAGCATAACACTGATCCTGGTGTTAGCTCAGGCAGACCATGAAGGCCAACTCAGCTGTGGCAAATCAGCTGACCTCGGTGTCAGCCCACATCAGCTGATGGCTCTGCTAATACCCTTTAAAGCATCTAATTGGCTGTCTTATACAGGGCACGCTATTTAAGCGGCTTGTGGAGGCGGGTTGTGGTTTCTGGGCGCAGTCGCAGGAAGGAGAGGTAGAGCAGTGTGTCTGATGAGGAGGGTGGGACACCTGCTGGGGACGTCTAATTAACCCCTCCCCCGACAGCATGTAGATTGTAGCAGATGAGAGACACGAGATGCTCAGCGGTGAGTCTGAGAGCCGGTGCAGCACAGCCGGCCACAGAGAGTCAGAGACTGTGTGAAAAGTAATGTTTGAATAAAACTGTGAAAGGGAGATTTGCTGCCCAACGTTACTGTGGAGAACTCGCAGCAGCAGCCGGTGCTTTAACCTGCTCACAGTGACTGCACATCTGCAAGCCGCTCTGCAACCATACCCACGCCTCCTTTTTCACGCTGCATCTGTGACTGTCATAACAGCTGCTGATGTCTGCTCACATGTGCTGGATGTCTTTCTGTTGCCTCTTCCTGCCTGCAGATTTCAGCAGTAAAGGATCCAGAGCAGACCCATTTCACCAAATGCACCCTCATTATCAGGGGGCTGTCTTCTTGCTGGCTCTGCAGTGCAGCTGTCGATACTGTCATTGCCATTTTAGCAGACCGTGATAGACTGGTGTTCGACTTCTGCTTATCTATGAGTCTGAACTGGCTAAGCAGAAGGAGATGGATTGATGGAAAACATCAAACGCCTTTTCACTACACTGGTATTGTTTGAAATATGTTTAACAAGCAAACAGATGAAGTCCAGGTTGCAATAAACTGGCACAAATAAAAATAGAATTATGATCATTTTTGGTCAACTGTATATGAAACCATATTTATTCATGACCTAGAATCATAACACACGAGTTACACTTGTGTTTTTAGGTGTGAAGACAGGCGCACACTGGATTTCTGACCACAGCGAAACAGTCAAACGTGGAAGACTAAACTATCTGTAAATGTCTGCGCAGTGTCTGTTCTCATGTTTGTAGCACAACAGGACCCTCTTTCTTTATTTGTTGGCTGTAAACTGCTATCAGTCACTGTTTTGTCCTGTGCTGCTGAAAATCTGGCTCCTCCTGAAAAACACCAAGAATCTATAATCATGTGCTTGTTGTGAGCTGTTAGCTGCTGCAAGACGAGTCTGGTTTAATTCTCCTAACTGCAAAGAGCAGACTGTTCTGGGACAATCTGTACAGAATCAGTCCATTATTCTGAATAAACTCTCGGTAATCAGTCTTTCAGCTACTGTTGGTGTTTCCTCTGCACCTCACAGATAATAAAAAGGGAACAGCTGCTGTAAAGTTCGTCTCAGCACAGAATGTAAGGACTCTATTCAAATGTTCAGACAGATATCCTCAGAGGCTTCGGTGTGCTGCAGAACTGAGAGTACAGCTAAAAATGCTACGTTTCAGGTTTAAAGACACATATCTGGTTTGATTTAAATTCAACAACGTGAAAAACACAAAGATACGGCTGCATCACAACATGTTTAACCAGAAAAAAGACAAACAGCATTTCTGCTTGTACGGACAACGTTTTAGAAGACTTTAATTTCTGAACTATTGTTCTCATCCAGCTGCAACATCCCCCAAAGTCTCTGACCTGACATGGACCTCAAAAACCTTCACTACTCGAACCCTCGTGAACCTGTGCAATCTACTGAAACTCAGGTTTATCCCTCCCTCCATCCATCCATCCATCCCTCTCCTAACATCCATCCATCCGTCCTCCATCTAAACTCCTCCCTTCCCTCCTCCCTCCCTCCCTCACTCACTCCTCCCTCCACCATCCCCTCCCTCCTCCATCCCTCCCTCACTCACTCCCTCGCCTCCCCATCATCCATCATCCCATCCCTCCAATCCCCCCTCCCTCCCTCCATCCATCCCTTCCCTTCTCACCTCCCTCCCTCCCTCCCTCCCTCCCTCCCTCCCTCCTCCCCACCCACTCCCTCACTCTTTCCTTCCTCTCTCCCTCCATGCCATCCCCTCCGTCCATCTGTCTGTCCATCCTTCCACCCATCCATCCATCTCTGTCCCTCCATCCATCCATCATCCATCCATTCATCTGTCTGTCCCTCCATCCCTTCCTCCGTCGTCCACTTCCATCCATCCATCCCTCCCTCCATCCCTCTCCTCCTCCGTCCATCCATCCGTCAGTCCATCCATCCATCCGTCCATCCATCCATCCATCCATCCTCATGTCATCCATCCATCTCCTCCCATCCATTCACATCCACTCCATCTCCTCCCTCCATCCCTCCCCTCCCTCCATCCCCATCCTCCTCCCTCCACCTCCTCTCCTCTCCCATCCACCTCCTCGTCCATCCCATCCTCCATCCATCCGATCCATCCATCCTCCATCCCTGCATCCCTCCTTAGGGCTTCATTTAGCTCTAGGTCTGCAGAGACTTAATTACATTTTAGCTGCTCAGCTGATATCCGTCCACTAATTAAGCCAGACTAAATCATTCATCATTAGAGGTGATTGAGACTCTCACGCTGGTGTAGTTTATCTACTTTCCCTTGAACCTGGAAGTGGGAATTAAACTCCTTTGCGTGTGTGTCCAACACCAGCAGCTATATAACCTTCAAACCTTAGCAAGTGCACCTCACCCTCCCTCAGCTACCAACAGCGATGTATTGGTCACTGGCAATCACAGCGGGATAACAGGATGAAGTGACTGTGGAAAAGATCTCCCAACCACAGTAGGAAAAGAAAACTCAGTTTTAGAAGGAAGAGGCCACTCACAGAATAAGTCCAGTCACCTATAACTTACCTAATGAAGTCATTTACAATTGACTTGAGCACCAAATGGATTGTTTCCATTGACCTGACAGCATGTACAACTTATTATGAGCAACACCGAGTGAAGCGGTTCTCAGTGAAGACAAACAGATATAGTTTCATTAATTAAAAGCAGCTCCGATGTTTCCTACACAGATGGCCACGGTCCGTTTACCAATCAAATCTGACACATTCCTGTAGTTGGGGACTATTTTTACTGATGGATGAATCCACATTTGGTATCATGAGTCCTCACAGGAGGGTGTATGGAGATGAAATAATCACCAGTTTAGGTTATCGCCACTAAACCGCGACCCTGTGTGCAAAATCCTTTCGTCTCAGCTCGGCGGGTTTGACAGCCCCCCGAAACGCTTTCCTGTTTGTTCCGACCTCCTGACCTTTATGTTTGCCTTTGTTGACGCTCTGATCATTATAAATATTAATAGAATATTTCTCTCGCTCCAGGCGAACCAGATGGCTCTTTGTGCTGCCGAATAGCGGCGCAACCAGGAGTTTAAATGAGGTCGTTACAGTTGAGAGACGCCCTGCTGCTCCAACGACTCTCTGCAGGAAGATGATTTACATACTGGTGATGTGTCTCTGTTCTCTGACCTCTGTTTTCAACAAGCAGCTGATTACCTCACTGTGAACTCTGAGAAATGAACTTCAATCTGTGTTTAATGGTTTGTGTGTTTAGGATGATTAATGGCATGAAAAAACTACTGTTTATTTATTCAGAAGCTCTTTGAGCGCTCAGATGGTTAAAGAGCATCTTAGCTGGGAAAACGGTGACGCAACAGTTCCTTCAGATGGTTACAAAACAAGGAAGTGAAATGCTTTAACAATCTGGCATTTAGGTGTATGTCTGTGTGTGTGTGTGTGTGTGTGTGTGTGTGTGTGTGCGCGTACCTGTTGGCAGGTTTGTCTGTGTCCAGCAGACTCATTATCGACTTTCCGTCCATATCTGGAGGCGTGTCGACGCCAGCGATGTCCAGGATGGTCGGAGCCAGATCGATGTTTAGGACCATGTGAGGGTTACTGACACAAACATGCAAACAGAGTATGAGCGCTTATTTTATTATATGTGTGCCTGTTTTAGCTTCATGTTGTCATAGCGAAATCCGAAAAAGAAACTGTTAATAAGACTTTAATAAATGTCTCCTTTTTACCAAAACAGGGCTTCAATTTTCATGTGACATTCATTAAATGTGACATGTGGCACAGATGCATCATACATGGTTTTATTGCAGCTGTGCACACACACACATACACACACACACACACGCACACACACACACACTTTCGTTTTGCTATCTTAGTGAGGACATCTCATTGACATAATGCTAGCTGCTTAAGCTAACCATCTAAAATCAGTGCCTAACCTTCAGCTTAAACCCAACCACAGCCTAAATGTAACTCTGACACTAAAACCACATTTTCATCCTCAAAATGCCTTCAAACTCGTGGGGACGGGCATTGTGTCCTCATGAGTGACTATTGGTCCCCACAAGCATGCCAATTTTTCTGTCCTCACAAAGATATCTAAACATGTACACACACACACAAAGTCAGATCTTCTTAAATTAACTCATTTATTTGACGAGCCCTCCTCCACCTATGCTACGCCTCTTTTACAAACTGTAGGTAACAACATTTCCTGAAAGACACAGGAGATAAGGGGCAAAAATTTGTTTTTTGTTATACCTCAAAACCTTTTAAGTGAAATCTTCCACCATGAAAACGGTGTTTGCTGCCACAGCAGAACACCAGAAGATTAAAAAAATACACATAATGGAAAATGTTAAAAAAGGACAAATTACTCGTCCCATCTTGCTTTGTACTGATATTTTAAAAGTGAATTGCTGAAGGCAAAACAGACCCGAGAGCTTCTACAGACTTCTGTTGGGCTTGGAGAGCAGGGGGGAAAGTTCACGGGGACATTTATTGTGAAGTATTGCAAACAAAGTGTTTTTTATCTCAATAACGTCTGCTCCGAAGAAGGGAAAGAAACTCTTGCCCTGAACCCGTGATCATCTCGTGGAACCGCTCTGACTGTGGTAATTCAATTTGACACACACAAACGCACACAGTAGCACACTCTGAAGAAAACAGTGCTGTCACATTTTTCATGGATACGATCTTTCTGCTGCTTCACGTCTCCACAGATTCTTTATATTTTTGGTTCTGAGATTTTTTAAAGCAGCCTGTACGCTCGTGGTGGAGACCAAAACCAGCAGGTTTTTGTACATGCTCCATCAGCTTCTCTTCCCTTGCATCCACCATGTGGTGCTGAGCACTGAGGGTTTGTTTGCTGCTCGAAACAGGAACAGGAATTTAAAAAAGGAACGACTCCAATGAAGCAGAGACGTTGCTGATAGCTGAGCCTTGTTGGTTAAGGCTTATTTTTCTTTTCTGTACATTTAATTGGGCTGCAAAAAACATGCATTTTAATTACTGATTGCATTATTATTTACTCAGTAAATTAATTAACTGCTTGGCCTAAAAGTACCCTGCAAAGTGCTTTTTTTAATCAACTGCCAACAACAGAGACCTGCAGGACCATCAATATATGTATTATTTGACGAGATGCTCTTTAAAAACAAATTGCTAGAATTGGATCATACAAGTCCGTGTGCTGGGACATGATGGCGTGCGCCACAGTTTGAGTGGCTGGTAATGATTCATTACCTGAAAATGACTGTTTGGTGTGTGGATGGAGAACCAGCTCTCATCACCAGATTTCTACCTGAATATCAGTCTGACAAAGAAGCTGATGCTTGCTTGTAAATGTGCACATGCAGGTGGTCAGGAAGGGTCCACAGGTGCATAGGAAGGTGACCTCGGGCCTCAGTGAGCCCCTGACATGCAGGTTGCATGGGGAAAATGTGAATTCCCTAACCAGCTGGCATGTGGGAAGTGGAGTCTGTGAAAATAGAGGGGGGTGCACTAAAACCCTTCTTGCGATTGCTGTGGTCGTGAGCAGGCGGCCACAGCTGTCCGTGTTTTATGGACTGAACAAAGTAACGTTTAAAGTTATTACTGAGTTCAGAGGATCGGCGGCGCCTTTGTGCAGTGAATTGTTGTTGAGGTGTGTGTGCTTACATGCTGCCCTGCTCCACGTTAGGTCCTCTGATGTAGAACGGGACTCTGATGTCAAACTCGTACGGCATAGATTTACCTGGAGACACACACACACACACACACACACACACACACACACACACACACACACACACACACACACACGGTATTAATGCTGTCATTTGTAGCTGAGGTGGTGACACTGAAGCTCGCACACACAGGTGTGTTTTGCTGTCACATTCTGACGTTATCTTCATGCTCAGCACAGTTTTCTGATGATCAAACACAAAACATTTGTTCCTTTAAACTCAAACATTTTATTATCTTGGATTCTTCAGATGTTCTTTACGTGCATCTGAAATTCTGTTTGCTGTTCAGCCCGTACTCACAAAGAGCGATTGTCCAATTTCCAGACTCTTAGAATTTGTGCTGTTTCGCTGTTTATTTTGTACATAATGCTGTTTCATCTGCTGGAGAAGGGTTCTTAAAATGAGTCTGGCACACATCTCACAGTGTTCCTCCCTGCACTGCAGCTGTTTTCCTACTAAAAAAAAAATCTAATCCTTTAAATCACAAATCAGGATGTTTCCAGATGATAATCAAGTTTAATCAGTTATAAAAATTATCACAAATTCTTTCTTCCATCGGCAGAAAAAGAATCAGGCAGACACAAGAACCTTATTCTCTGTTCGTACCTTTAACGAGGCCGAACTGGCCGATGTGGTAGCCGTGATCTGACGTGTAGATGATGTAGGTGTTTTCCAACTCGCCCGTCTCCACCAGCATGTTATACAGCTGAGAAACAAACAACACCATTTCAGTCTGTGGCTTAAAAAAACAGAGTGATTTTGCACACTGGTCATCTTTTATCTGTTCACACTTCCACCAAACTTGACTCACTTTTGTGAGTGTGGACGCTTCCTCTCTTTGCTCTTTAAATGCTTTGCTTCTTTTATTGATTTTTATGCTGATTTATTCCCTTTTTTCCTTATGAGCTTACCTGCGATAGCTTCTGGACACTCATAGATCATTAGGACTAAAGTGTTTTTAACAGAAACAGCAACATTTTTATAGTTACCATATCCTCAGTGCTCCGTGTTTCTGTGGCCTACACACAGCTGAAGCCTGATTACAGCATCTGGGCACCGAGCAGCCTCAATAGCCTGGAAAGGTGCTAACCGCTAGGCTAACTAGCAACAAGATGCCTTCCCTCTCCACAGATGACTA